GGGTACATTATGGTAAGAGGGGGTTGGAGACGGGGGGCGTCTATATCATATCTTGGTAGACCTAAAACTCCTTCCCCAGATCGGTTCTAATGAGACCTTAACTCGAAACAAATCCAGGACTGAAAAAGCTGCTTTATCTTTATACATGTAACAGAGAGGTTGTGGAGTATAGGTGACACCCTTACTTCGAGGGAGTTGCAACCCCTGCCAGTGAGAAGACTGACTCTACCCCTCTGAAGCGTTGACACGACATGAAATCAACCCCCCCCCCCCTAAACCAAAAAAGAAAAAAATAAAGAAAAAAAAGAAATTCCTAAGGCTTCACATGACGTAGCATGTTCCTTTTGAACGTTCTTTTTAATACAGGAGTTTTTACACCCCCCCCCCCCCCAATCGACTCAACTTTGATCATTTAGGGGGCAAACCTCCGACCCTACCATTCAGGCCAACCCGGGCTGAGAGGGATACCACACCCGCGAGAGAAAAGACCATTAATGTACTTGATAAAGATTTCTCCCCACTCGAGAACCGAACTCGGGCCTCCAGCATGCGACAGCGAGGAGCTTGACCCCCTACACCACAGACACCGATGTAGCATATTCATTCGAAGACAAGATATAAGCCGAAATCTGCATTGACGGATGTTTGGAACGTTATTTAATGTTAGACATATTGATGTAATCATACAGAAAGTACACGTTAAAAATGTTGAGCTGAAAAGCAGATCAACACTTAGGGAAAAGAGCACGAAGTTTTGACAGTTAAGTAAGCAAATGTCACTAGCGTTAAATTGATATAATTTGCAAGTTAATACGCGTAACCACAGTGAATTTATAACGTGCGCTGTATAACGATTATTATACATAAGCAGAGAAAGTGTCAGATGCTAGCAGCGCACTCATATGACCTTATGCAGTTGCGAGCGCCGTAAAACCTTATACTAAAAAAAAAGATGCTAGCAGGAACCTAATTTCTCTCGGAAATCAATATTTTAACAAGAAATATACCATATATACCAGTAGAACTTATACCTTTATACATAGTATACATAATAGTGTGTTTTACGTACAATGTCGATTAATTTGTAAGATGTGATGTCTTTTTTGATGTAATGCGCATTGAGCATTTTTTAAACTAGAAAATGGAAATGCGCAGTATAAATACCATTAATTTTTATTATTAT